GACTATTGTTTTCATTTAGCGATTTTGCATTCGTTTATTATAAATGTCCATCTTACTTTTCAAACTGTTGCCACCAAAAGTCCTGCATTATATTTAAAGAAATTAAATAATGAAAAATCTGCATAAATGTGTGTATATTTCTCACATTGTGATAATTGAATATTTAGCTAACAAGGGAACACGTTTTTATCTCCAGTGCGCGAGACCATGTATCAGAAATAATTTCAAAATAATTTCACCCAAATTCTGCATCATGGAGAACCTCAAAGTTATTATATATGTGAAGCTTTAGGCCATAGCTCTCAAAATTTGCACGTGAGTTCAAGCTAAAGTTTTAAGAAACATTCATAGTATTTTCATTTGGAGGAAACAGTGCTAATTTAGAGGCTGGTGTGTAGATTTACTAAATGAAAGTTTTCATTTCAGATTTAATTTCAGGTAATAGTTTTTACCTAGGTATATTTAAGACTTTTAATATTTATTTTAAAAAAACTTTTTCATAAAAAGTATTGTCAAGAAAATAGCTTAAAAAATTATATGTTAAAAATATTTTATGCAAAAAGCAATTTTTTTCCTCTTTTTTAACGTATTGTTTTCACGAATTAACTGACAAATCATAAGTACTGTGTATTATAAAAATTTTCTAAATTAAGATACTTGATTAGGAACTCATTAAAGACATACTAGTTTATTGCAGTTTAAATTTTTGGTTATGATATACTATTGGTGAAATATTAAAATATATATAGAAAATGTGCTTCATCAAATATTGCAGCACTGCATAAAAATGTATTCAGTGTATCTAGTGCCAGTTTTATATTTTTAATGCCTGTATTATAAATAACATATTCAAACAGAAATAAATGTATGAGAAAATACAGTCAGAGTGAAATAAGTAAAAATCACCATTCATACAAAATTATTGTCGTATATCACTTTTAGCTCAAAGGAGTGTTAGCTCAGAAGGGCTATTAATTTCGTTTTGGCATTTTGCTTCGATCCACTATAAATGGTAAGTAACTTTTGAAATCGTTGCCACCAAATATTATCGCCCTATATTATATTTAAAGAAATTAAATAATGAAGAATATGCATAAGTTTTTCGCATTTCTCGTTTTAAAACAACGGTACCTAGAACCATCAAATTTTGTAAAATGTATGTCTCTACCTGTATATGGGCATCTGGAAGCCCAAATTTTGAATTTGTTTTTTTATCTATTTCATATTTTGTAAAGCATTTATGAGTTTTTGACTAAGAAACTCAGCGATTTCAAAGCTAGCAATTGCAAAACTGTATGTGGGAAAAAAAACACGTTTTTATCTCCAGTGCGCGAGACCATGTATCAGAAATTCTAGTGATGTGCTCTTTTAAATATTTTGCAATATTGCTGTTGGTTTGAATTTTATGGTTTAAGTGCAAATAACATGATATTTAATAAATAAAGCTAACACACAAAATGTTAAAAAATGCCCCTTTGGAGGGTAATAAAATGGGAAACGCCTTTAGTATATATATAGAGATATAATAGATATATATATAGAGGATTTTAAAATATAGAGAGATTTATATATTTATATATTAGATTAGATATATATAGAGTATATATTATATATTTTATATATATATATAATATATATATATATATTATTTTAAAAGTATTTTTCACAATTAGTTTTAAATAATGCAGCATTTAAAAAATAAAAATGCAAGTTAAAAAAATGCCAGCAACGGCTCCATTTGATTGGTTTTGGTTTATTTAATATGGAGCATGTGAGGGCTATCTGCTTAACGGGAGGGATTCCTTAGTGAAAAACTTTCTAAGGTAAACTGCCTTATACTTACATTACACATGGGAAAACCTATACAGCCAGCCCATTCACCGGTATTCGAACCCCGGACCAAACTACCAGTGTTTAACGACTTTAGCGCTAGGCCGCCAGTGGACAGCTGCATTTGACCCAAGAACTTCTAATGGGCAGATTAGCTGCTAGACCACCAATATTTTCTCTGGAAGATAAAATTTAAATAAGACCGATGCTACTTTTAAAAATTTAGTCTCAATTTTTCTCATGTTTGATAGTTTCAGATAGCCCTTTCACTCAGTGGCGTAAATAAGGGTATGAAAAGAATGCTGTTGCATAGGGGCCCAAAGGCTTAGGGAGCCCTTGAATGTCCTGCTGAACTACACTTACATATTTAAATTTAAAACATGTATTCTATTCTTTACATATATATACACATTAGAATCTGTCTTTTAAGTTTTTAAGGGATGCATACCTTATGTGATGCACATAGAAGACCCTTGGAAGCATATGAAACAGCTGAATTTATACTGAATGCAACAAAACAAAAAAGCTGTGTGCTTTCATTATGATTCCCCTCTAGAGGACAGCTTTCGAGTTATTACTGATAACCAGGGCTAGGCTTTTGCCAGTGTATTGTGAGAACAAGTTCTGAATTTCTTGAGGCAAGCACATACAGTGATGCAGTGCAAAGTGTAAGAGAGCTATGTAAATTTTTTGAAATTCTTTAAATATTTCAAAGAAAGTTTAAAAAGATGGAGTTTACTTTCTTCAGGCTGACTCCGTAACAGTAACATCACTGTCAAAAATCTAAATCCTACAAGGTGGCATGGACTATTATGATCTTTGGTAGCAATTTAAAATAAGATAATTTTGATATCTTGAAAGCATTAAATTACATTAACTTCAAAGAAAGTGCAAGAAAAAGACATTTCAAATAGGTTAAAAAATAAATCTTTTGAATTTTTAATCTAAACAATTTTTATGGAAAAAGTTTATATCTTTTACTAATGCAATATCTTAAATATTACACAGAAAATCAGTCAACTTGAATGAAGCTCATCAACATCTAAAAAAACATTTCTATTAGTATGTAAAATATGAGAAACAAGTTTGAAGATGTTATGAAAGAAGTTGGGTTTATTGCAAATAAATGGGGGCACAGAAACTAAATTTGAAAATGAAAGAAAAATAGAGACAACAAAAATTTATTGATGAGTTAATGAGAATAACAGCTTTGAAAATTCTGAAATATCTTTTAAAGTAACAAGTTTTTATGCTGCTGTCGCTATTTTAAATACTCGGTTAAAATATAGAATGACTGGAATGACAAAAATCGCAATGATGTTTTCCATTTTGAAACCTAAAACTCTGTTATCATTAACAAATATGGAAATTATTAATAATGTTTCAAAAAGACAGAAAACATGTGAAGACTTTACTAATGCACTTGAAGTACCACTACTGTTATTTATAAATACTTTTAGAACAGAAATGCATTAAGGATTTAGCTATATTAGCAGTGGTAAAAATTTTATGGTATGGCAAGCAACTATTCGGAATTGTACAATTTATATTGTATTTATCATTACCTGTAATCACAGTCATGAGTGAGATATAATTTTCAAAACTGAAACTAATAAAAACGTACTTGAGAAACACTGTAACGGAAGATCAGTTGTCAAACCTATCACTATTGAGCATTGAAGCTGATATGGCTGAGAAATTAGACGTCCAGGTATTCATAAATAATTTTGCAGAAATGAACGTCAGGAGGTGCAGTTAAAGACTTTTGTCTTTATAATGAATTTAGGCCACCACTGTTATAATAACACTTAATTATGAAAAAACATTAGAAAAAAAGAACAGTATGGACCAAGAAAAATTAAAAGGAAACGGGAAAAAATTTTACCATGCACATGTTTATAAAAATCATGTATTCAAGTAGTTTAGTGTACCAAAAGATTTTTTTTAAAAGAGAGGGGGGGAAACCTTACCATACATATTTTCTACAAGAATTGAATTTTCAGATAGTTTCCTTTAAGAAATTTATGATAAATATGTTTTATATTTAACAAATGTAACATTTACATTATAAAAATTCTTATTTATTAACTTATATATTATTGCATAAACCATGTTCATCATGCTGAGTACATCACAGGTCACTATATATTAGTGATTTCTTTTTTATACATTTACCTATTATGTTGTCTCTGTCAGTTTATAGCATAACCAGTTAGGTATTTATTAGTTTGCTAAATCAAGTGGAAAAAACTTAAATTGGTGTAGGTTTTTATATAAAATTTCACAATATATTTGTTTGTAAAATTTACTGGATTTTGTTTAAAAATCTTCGCAAATCTAGGCTTTCATCCTTTTTTTAATGCTGTACTTTACATCAACTTGTTTTTGTTTTTATGTAGAGTTATTCATTTGCTATCAGTATGTATCTCAGTGAAAGGAGAGAAAAATCTCACTCACACACACACACACACACACACACCAAAAAAAAAAAAAAAAAAAAACTTAAATAAGTCAAATGTTACGCTGAGACTAAAGTAAATTTGCATTCCGCAATTGGTCAAGGAAAAATATTTTCTTTTTTATTCTTCGTGTTACATACCTTGCACTTGATTCCCTAAGAACCTGCTTTTATTACGCCGAATCTGATAAAAATCATCATCAAAACACCAGCTCCTGGAATGCGCTTTTTTCCTTTTTTTTTAAGCACAGCAAATTTATTTAAGGGGCAGGAAAATTTTTTGCGTAAGGGCCCAAGAGTTCTAGTTATGCCACTGCTTTCACTTTGAGATTGTTCATGATTAAACAAAATTAGTGAAGCAAAAGTTTTGTGTTAATCATCCAATTATAACTTTTTTTTTAAGGCAATTACTGATGGTTATGAAGTGCAACAGATTGTTTTCCATTATCCTGACATAATGGTTAAAACATAAAAAACAATCCCTGGCTTTTACAAAAATAAAAAGAAAAGGAAAAAATTATTCTGTTCTAATTTTGGCCTTAATCGAAAGAAATTTAAAAAAAGAAAAGTAGCTTGATGTTTTAGTCTATATTCTTTACATCTGCTGAAATATTATTGCCTCGTATAAGTCCTTATAATTTGACCTTAGTATTAAAATTAATAATCTGTGTACTTTCCTTATATTTTTACTATTTTAATTTTTATTTTACAGATATCTTGGGCGATGGGAGCATTCATCCTGTCAAGTTGTTAACAAACATACCTCCATGGTTACGAGGTTTCCAAGGAAATGAATTTCAAATGCTTTTAGAAAAACAAAGAGCTTACTATTTTTGGAGGTGGACACGACCTAAAAAGTGGAAAAACATGAACAAAAGAATAATGTTCTTGTATAGATATTTAAATAGAAAAACAAAAACTTAGCTCTTGGTTGCTTAATATTTGTGTTACCTGTTTCTGAGACTATCGTATAATAATAAATGATACACAAAATAAGTTTTTGATATGTGTTATGTTAAAACAGAATGAAGTATATTGTTTTCGTAGAATGCTTTGTATATCATTTTCATTCATGCTTTCCTACTTTTTTACTCGGTATTTGCTGATGATCATTGTTTAGTTAGATATACGATATGACTCAGATATTTTTATTAGTAGATCACGTAAAAAAGCCGAAATGGAATTAAGAAATTTAAATGGAATTAAGAAATTTAAATAGAGAAAAACTATCTCATATTTGATATGATAATCTTGTTGTTGAATAAGTTGAATATGTGTAATAATTTAACTTTATTTGACCATTAATCCTACCCTTTAAAGTATTATTGCCTTTTTATCTATATTCAGTACACACACACATACATATTAAAGTGATTGATGGAAAATGAATAACTAAAAGAAGAGAGAAAGGTTATACAATTTCATGAATAAAATTTATTTTAACTACTTAGTAGGTAACTTTTAGAGCATGTTATTATTTGAAAAATAATTATTGAATACAATCTGCCCTCAATTATCCATTTTGTGAATTATCCATGTGTGGCAGTGCCCGTGTATGCACACTCAGTGCTGTGCGCGAGAGCGTGTAAAAAGTAAATGCGCAAGTCTAAGCGTGCTCTAAAACTGCTGAATTACATCTTTAAGTTTACTTTCAACAATTACCGTATAAAATTCATTCTGCATGTGCATAGTTGAAGGCATAATTTTGGTTGATCTGCAAGATTTTTTTGTTTTGTATGTATTTTCGTGCGTAGTTTGATAATTTGAATTATACATGTTTTTTAAACTATCTTTGATCTGCTTCTGTAGCATTAGCCCAGATAATTGATAGGTATGTCTCAGTCTATTTCTTTCATACAACCATTTAATCTGTAGTCCTTTTCACAGGCTTCATACGGTTCTTGAGTCTTTAAAAGTCCTTAGATTTTTTGGAATCGATTTTTGGTCCTTAAAAATCCTTAATTTTGGCCAAAATCAGCAGAAGATCCTTAATTTTAATTATCTGAAATTTCTGTCTGTTTTAACGATTGCCATTTTGAGTGTGAATTAGCATTTTGGAGGAATATTTTTGGCGATCCACTGACATATATGGTTATCTTTTGAATGGGTTCATCTGTTATAATTTGTTTCTATTTTTAATATAAAGGATGGGATACTCGAAGTTCTAAGCAAGAAAAACTTGAGCATAGCGAAATTCATTTTTTCTAATAAAGAGCCCATAAATAACTTTTCGCTTTTAGGGATGTGAATTCTTTTAATAAACAGTTCTAAATTTGGTGACTTATCAACATTTTGGTGATTTAAGATCAGTTTCCTATAGAACAATGTTTTATTCGAGATCTGAGAAATTTTTTACAGTTTTTTTTAAACATCGTAACATGAGAAAATTTCATTAAAATAATGGTAAGATGAAATTATATTAAAAAAATAACATTAAAAAAAAACATTTTATTTTTGCTGTCATATTATAAGTCATTTTAGCAACTTATTACACAATTTTTGATCTGAAAAATAAACAAGGTGTAATGCTGTAAACCATAATACAAAACAGCTCTTAGCAAAAGCAAAATTAGCTATGTAAAATTAAAAGTCTTTTTTTAGTTTTTTGTCATAGTAAGAGTAATTATCTCATGTAATTATCTCAAAATATTCAAAATTCTCAGAATATGCATCAGTTTTTCTCTATAAAATTAATTTTACACTTTTTCCCTCCTTTTTTGTCAAAATATTTCTGGCATTTTGCTGGTACAGAATTGATAGCGATAATTTCTCTTTAGGAATTTAGACATTGCAGCTTGGAAAGTTTAGAAGGATTTGAAGGCAAGATTTATAGAGCCACGATTCTAGAAGATTCGAGAACTATGTGACAAAATGAAATGTCTCCATGGTATCAAATGTAATGGATGTATTTTACAGAAAGTTTGCAATGAATTATTACTTTTTGGAGAACATCGGAAGAACAATGAAAATATAATATTAATGTTATTCTGAACTAGAATCTTAACATGTTTATCTTCCTTTTATTTTCTCTACTTTTCACTAGAACACAAGCATGGAAAATATCAAAAATGCTTCTATTATTACATGGGCAGTATAGAAAGGGATTTTTATTAATAAAAAAATTGAAAACGTTACAATTTAAAAGATTATCTATATGTCTTAAATGCACCATATAGCTGGCACTAGGCATTTCCCACTTGATGCAATCTCTGTGGATCCTAAATTCTGCTTGCCTAGCGCCTTTCTAAATCTGTTCCAATGCTGCTCTAAATTCTAAAAAAATTTTGCCATTTCTAGATTTTGTTGTTTGGTCTGTAACTAAATTCTAAAAATTGCCACATCAGCTCTGTAAACTGGTCTTTACCATATATTTCATATTATAAAGGAATAAAATTAGACACTTTTTTTGTAATTTAAAGCATTTAGTGTTTTTTAGAATAACAAAATCCTTAATTAAATCTAAATTAAAGGAAATGTGTTGAAGAAGAACTGGTACATAAAGAAAATTTTCTCAAAGATAGTCAATATTATATGTAAATTACCCAATTATTATATTTCAGCTTTTACTATGATCTCTCATTCTATTGAGTAGATTAATTTAAATAATTGTATAACTTTGACCTCTAGTCCCATTTTTAGTTTGAATTTGACTGTTCCTGTTTAATTTAATCACCATAAGCAGTAGCTGATTTTGTTAGCACAGACATGCCTTTATGTTAAGTTCTTTTAAATAGAAGTTATTTAAACTTTGTAATTATTTTATTTTCCAAATTACTACATAAGAAATTATTCTTCAAAGATATGTGCAGTTAGTATTATGTAAATTACTCCCTTGTTAGATTTCGCCATACATTTTCCCTCTATTTCCTCATTGATAGGTTAATTGAGCCAGATTAAATTAAAATTAATTGTATAATCTTGACCACTATCAACATTTTTGTTTTGATTTGACTGTTCTTGTTTAATTACTTACCGTGAGCTGTAATTGATTTTGTCAGATCGAAACATGCCTTTATGTTTTAAGTTCTTTTAATAAGAGGCTTCTTTAACCTTTGTTAATATTGTAGTTCCTTTCAGACTAGCGATAAAGTGTTCGCATCTGTCATCAGTTTGGACTGTTAAATTTTACCAAATCAGTAAAACCTCATAAGTACATTTGGAGAGGTGACAATTAGATATAAAGCAGCAGAAACTAGCAAGAGCATTGTTTGCATGTTAGACAAATCTTTAATTGTAAGAAATATGCTTAGAGAAGGAATCGATATAAACTAGCCAAAGTCTGGAAAGGGCCGTAACTTAAATATGGATAAATATTTTGTTGAGTGTTGTTGTTACTAAATATAAACACAACACTCAACAACTAAATGTTTTTTATCTTTTATGTGTAATTATCCTAATATTGTTAAGAATCAATGTCATAATTACCTGTATTTTAAACGTAATGTTATCGATTTGATTTAAGAGGGCTTTTTTAACAATATTGTTAAAAAAAAATTATAGTGGCCATGGTAAATCCATAATGACTAGGTTATTAACTACCTAATTTAATTATTGATAACTACTGTTTACCCTTAAAAAATTACCTCTACATTTAAAGCGAGTTATTGCCTTTCATTAATACTCACTGTGGTCACAAGATAAAATACAAAAATTAAAATTCAAGTAAAACTTCTTGCATCTAGTAGACTCAAAATAATATTCAACCACTTATCACCTTTTTTCTTTAATGGCTTATTGAAACCCCAGTTATTACCCCTTGGAACTCTACACGAAGCTACAACACTAACTGCATCAAAAAGAGCCTGAACATAGAAGACTGACTTTCAACACTTGCCAACTGTGCTTACATCAGGCCTTTCAGGTTTGTTCAAATCAGCCAGTCTCTCTCTAGACTAAGCAGCTGCGGTGACAACATTCAGTCTTTTGGTTATGGATGGTGGTAAAGTTTCAAAAGATTTTACTAAATAGACAGAAAATAGGCATGTACTTCCCCCTCTTGCAACTTAATAAGCACCTGGAATACAATATGTCCAACTTAATTGCTGTCTGGATTAGTAGAAAACTATGTGAATATCTTACATAATAACTTCTTCACTGCATTTCACGTTATCTTGATATGTAAGTTTTGTATATCGATTTATTAATATATTGTATGCATATTTCTTAAAGCATATTTTTATAACTATTGAGAATTTGAAATTGGGTTGTTTTGTTGACCCATTTTAGATAAAGATTATTTAGTCTTGGGCTATTTTGGTGGGGTATCACCACCAGTTTCTTAAAAATGTTTAACTGTCTGTCTGAAAAAGAAATATGTAAAATTAGCTTTTTAAAAAAACACTTCAGATTGATGCAGATTTCAGATTGGACTGACATAGGTTTCCTCTACATCAAAGTTTCTTAAACTGTGGGTTGCGTCCCCCATGGGAATCACGGGACCTGCAGCAGGGTGTTGCCAGAAATTTGAGCAGTTTTGATATTTCTTTAGCTTATTATAATAATTTGACAATTACCAAATATTTTTACACAATATATCTGAAAATAGATGACATGATATGACAATACAGATAAAGAAAAAACGAAAACATTTTGATGCATTCTTTTCATAATATAAACATTCATTTTACTTGCTTCGCAGTCATTTCGTCTGTTACTTATTTAACATTTTTACTTTGTTCTATGTCTTAAAATAATTAGAGTTAATGACCTAGAACTGCAATAGTATATTACAGTACAAGTGAAAAAATTGGCAGTTTCACTCACACGTGTGTCGGATTTGCGCAATGCTTGTGGGATCCTGTAAAATTTTAGTAAATTTTATGTGGTCATGAAAAAAAATATTAACAATAAAAAAGGGCCACTACTGAAAAAAGTTTAAGAAGTCCTGCTGTACATGAAGAGCCAGTTCCCCCCCCCTGAAGATAGGTCTGTGATGTTGCCCTCAAAACTAATAATTTTATTTAAATTCTAGCTTTCTTCTTTTCATTTTACAGTCA